GCTATAAATCTTTACGGGAGCAGAAAGCCTCATCTTTCTCCCGCGGAACAGCTGGTAGTTTCGAACTGCTGACCTTGCGGTTCACAGCCCAATTCGTAACCACTACACTACCATAGCTCCTCTAAAAAGAGGAGGCAATAAAAAAATAAATAAAAAGGGGGGCGCTGAGACACTTTTGCATGCAAACAAGCCTTCCGGAAGTTGGTCATACTAACTGAATCAAGACTCTCTAATGTAGGGTTCAAAACAGCAGCAACAAAAGATGTCCAGAATTTATTAACAGTAAAACGCACCTTGTTAGGATGTAGTCCAGGCCTCGCTTCAAGTTCAAGAGTAATCTCACCTTTCACAACACCAACTTCCTTACCAGTGTTAGAAATGAAAACCGTTAGCAAATGTGCTGCATTTGCAACTTGACTCCAACGTTTTCCTAAACGCTCCTATAGCTGAGTCAGGGGGAGGCCGGAGTGGTGTGGGACCAGCAGCAGCATGTCCACCCTGCCATCTCTGACCACACTTCTGTGTGAGTCAAAAGCTTTCTGCAAAGGAGCAGCTGACAGCCCAAGGCAGAGAGAGATCTTCACTGCTATCCAATATGGAAATTACTAGCCACTTAGTCCTGATGTGGCGCTGTAGGATAAGCACTGGACTGCTAACCACGAGATTAGCAGTTCAAACTCACCAGCCACTCTTCCTACAGTCACTGTGAGTCGGAACCAACTCAATGTCACTTAACAACAACAACAAAGTCACTTGTGGTTTAACTGGTTACAATCAAGTAAAATGAAAACTTCCGTTCCTCCGGTGTATGAGCCATGAATCCAGTGTTTGATAACACATTACAGAGGATGGAGAGACCACGTCTATCATTACAGAAAGTGAATTCAATACTGAATGTCACTGCGGTTTTTTTGTTTTACTCTGAACATACATGGTAAAAATTTCATCTTTTCCCTACATGAACAAGACAAAATTCAAACTACATTTTGTCTCTTCATGAGGTAAATTTTTACTCCAAAAATTCAGTTCCAAGGGATAGAGTGGATTATTTACAAGCAGATCAAAGACAACTCGTGGGGTCCACCTCCCCAGCATCCTTGCGTGTTAGTTAATACGTCTTCGTCCATAATAATGACCAAAAGTGAAAAACCAGGTGAAACCCGGTGGATTCCAATTCAGCGTTTCGGACAGGACAGAGGAGAGCTGCACCTTCAGTTTCCAAGAGTGCAACTCTATTTCCAGTGGAGCAGCTGGTAGGCCTGAAACACCCCTGCTTAATCCACTATACTACCAAGGTGAGACAAGGATTCCATTATAAAGTGTGGCCACGCAAAATGAAATGTTTTGTTTATAGAAATGTGGGAGAGCAGGCTCTGGAACTTGAGCTGTCTGCTTTTTAGGGAAAGTGACAAGAGAAGGTAGTTACACCTATACAAACAATCCCCCATCAGAAACCCAGCTTAAACAACTGCTCAAGGCAAGCAAGATCCTGCTAGACTTAGCAAAGAGGGGCCCACACAGCAACAGGGCTAATACAAGAGAGACCCTAAGGACTAAGGCAGCAGCACATCGATTTCCACTGAAAGTAAATCTTTTCTAGGCCCTTAATGTCCATTACCAGTACACTTAATTAAAGAACACTGCTGCTCCACCTCATAATGAAGTAGAAAAGGCAAACTAAACTATCAACAACAGCTTCCCAATAAAGCACAAATTCTGGGACAGTTAACGAGTCTAAATCCCAAGCTTCTCCTTCCTCAATATGAAATCACCGTAAGCCTGGAAAGACTAGCCTAGCCCTCAGACTGTAGGAACTACCACCTTCTAAGCCGTGTCATTCACGTTAAACAAGTTTCTCTGCTCCTGCCTCCATTCTTTCTTGCCCCCTTCTGCCTACTCTACTTCTTTAGTAGCCTAATTGATTTCTGATGAACTTTTGTGACATAGTACAAGTTTCTATTTATTTAGAGAAATGATGCATTACTTACCATGCAGGGCTTACATGAACGGCTAACAGCTATTTATTCTAAGATGTAAGGAGAAAAAACCAAAAACAACAGACCCACAAGATGCAAGTTAAAAACGCAAACACCCACAACAATAAAAGTAATAATTATATGACATACTTGTTACTTCTTGTAAGAAATCCAAACACGGTCGACTACTTCCAGAAATACTTATTGAAACAGCCAACGGGGTCTGTCCTTCATAGTTCCTTGTGTTCGTGTCCGCTCCATAATTATATAACATCCGTGCACAAAGCACATCATCCCTAAGGGCAGACAAGTGTAAAGGAGTCTGTCCATCTTCTAAGCGACCCAAGTTTGTGTCTGCCCCTCTCTGCAGGAACATTCGGCAATAAGAGTGGTTGCTTTTGATCACAGCGTAACGTAACAGGAAACCGTTCTGAATGTCAATATTGGCATTGTGGTCCAGGAGAATTTTCACACAGCTTGACCTCTCTCGGATAATGGCTAGTTGAAGCGGCGTGGTACCTTTATCACTGAGTGGGTCGACCTCAGCTTTGAACTCTAGTAGGAGGCGGACAAACGAGTCCCTTCCATAGTGAGCAGCCACATGGAGGGGAGTCCAGCCATCATTGCTTTTGGCATTAATGATGTCACTCTTATACTCAGATTCTAACATCAAGCGTGCGATTCGGGCCCGGCCGTGCATGGCTGCGTAATGAAGAGCAGTGAAGCCTCCGATTAAATCCTTTACTGTAGGATCAGCTAGAATGAAAACCAAGATGAAAACATTAGCCAACTTTACACCAAAACAACCAATAGGGCAAAAGCACAGTGTAGTTCTCATATAAAACTTGAAATGACCAAGTATTACAGTGAACATAAAGGACTAAGATGCTTCAGCTTCACTTAAGTCTAGTGTTAACAGAAATAAATTTGATTTTCGTAGAAAGGTGATATCAGTAGAATGTCTATGAAGCTGAGGTAGTAGATCTGCAAAATCTACTACACGATTAGTTCGGATGGCCACGCCCTCCCTCCCTCTCCCCTCATCAAACCAAGGGCTTCTGGCTCCTCAAGTCCCTCATCTCTGTACTGTTTCATGCTTCTCTTCTGTTTTGAACTTTTGATCTTATTTTCTCTTGCGCTGCTTCTTGGTCTTAAAGAGAAGCATGTGCAGGAACATCTGCTGTTCTAAATTACGGATGTCCTGTGGTCTGGCAAACTCTGTCCTTTTAGACTGTATTAGGTTAAAAAAAAAAAAATTTCTGTGGTCTGTAAAAATTCCAAGGCATGTAAGATATACATTAAGTGATCTTGATAAAGCATGTTTTCATAAAAGTCTATTCTGAATTGTAAGTTTCACAAGAACTTTGGAATTTACAAGAAGGAATAAGCAGCATATTGTGTGAAAAATTGAGAGAGAGCTTGGCACCATATAAATTATTATTTTCTAAAAAAGTTCCCAAAACCACTTCTACATGGACTAATTTCTGGGGGGGAAAGGAAACTACAATGATTTTTCTGCTATGGGATTCTTCAAGTTATAGATTTTCATCACCTGGCCTCAGATAGTTCCTTAGGCCAACAGTAAGTTCTGTGCAGCTCTCAGCCCAACCCAGGGCTGAGAACATGGTCAAGAGTCACTCTCCCGAATACCTAAAATGGGGCTAGAACTTGCCCAGTGAAGGAGGCTTCCTACAGACGTTGCATTGCATAAGACCACAGGTGGAATCCTGAACCCCTTCCAGAATCTTCTGAGGTGGGAAATTTCCACTTGAAATGACAAGCAGACCAGCCTGGAGCTGCTAGAAGAACAGAGGTATTTCTTGAAAGAAAGACTGGCAGAAAAAATCAAAATCAATAACGGCAGTCCGATTGACTACTACAAGAACAAGCAAGTTGTTCATCCAGGAGCCATCAAGACAAGTGGTCAGCTCCCCTCAGAGCAAACCCCAAGACTAAGACTCAAGGGGAACACACAAGCAGGCATGTGGTCTGGCTGGTGACCACGCTGGTCACTACGATAAGGGAAAGTGGGGAAAAAACAGCAGTGAAGTTGTGAGCTACGTCTGACCATGTTCAACAGACTCCTATGAACCCAGATTGAGGCCTGCTTGGCCAGCAGTGTGGCAAGACCTGGGGACTCCTGGGCCCAGAGGCAGTGACATAGCAACAGAGGGCTAGAGCAGAGTGAACCGTGCTGCTGATAAGAAGAGAGGGCATATGCACAAGAACACCCACACTTGCAGATAATACCTACTTGACCTGGCTTCAATGGCTGGATGATCAGAACTTGACTACAAGAAAAAAGAAATGGGGGGGGGGAGAATAATCTGCTACAATTTGATGAAGTTGACCTACACCTATGGATGCAGTAGCTCAAAAGAGGGAAAAAATGTTTACAACGAGGATCCTTCCCACCTCTTTGGTACACAGGGTTCACAGAGATGGGCAACTTAGACATTGGCTACCCAAAATGGGGATGGCTCCTTGGAAACCGTCTAGGTCACTGTGGGTCGGAATCGACTTGACGGTACTTAACAACAACAAAGGCACGAAGTGACTGGCTTACAAGCTTAAAAGAGGGAGTCTAGTTCCAGAGGGTGCAGGGGAAGGTAGAATCTTCACTAAGTGCTTTCCAATCTGTCTGGGAGGGGCTGATGAAAGGAAATGTGGATAAGACTCTTGTGGTACAATAGTGAATAAATGCTATCAGGACTGACTGTGAGGGTTGAAAATCTAAAAGTACATGTTTTGTAACAAAAGGAGAGGAGTGCTTGGTTTTGTAGTCTAGGAGCAGAGGTCCCTGGGACTATCAAGGGAGAGGAGCAGAATGTGGGGCCCTACCCAGAGAAACAGTGATGCCAGAGATGATGACTTGGCGGGATGGAGAGGCTGGAGACTCTGTACTAAGGGAGGGAGAGGGGCTGTGTGCTG